GTCAGAGGATTATTTTAAAAATTTCATAATCTAATATATGAATTTGGCAAATTTCAGCATACAAATTAATATTCAGAAATTCATGGTGTTCTTATACACTAATAATGAACTATCAGAAAGAGAAATTAAGAAAACAATCCCATTTACAATTGCATCAAAAAGAACAAAATAACAAGGAATATTTTTAAATATGTATACATTTTTTATTGACTTCAGAGAAGAAGGGAGAGAGATAGATATAGAAACACCAAACTCTGCCCCCCGCCACCCTGGTCACCCCTCACTGCCAGCCTTTGCCAGCGTGGGTGCCCCTCACTGCCCCCCCTGCTGGCCTGATTGCCCCCAAATGACCCCCTGCCAGCCTGGTTGCCTCACACAACCTGCTGCTCAGTCGTTTGGTCGTCCCTCACTAACACCCTGCCAGCCTGGTTGCCCTATTCAGCCTGTTCGATTGCCTGTTCCGTTGTTTCAGATGTGACGGCCCCTGGCTCTATATCTAGATAGATAGATAGATGATAGATAGATAGATAGATATGTAGATATATAGATATATAGATGTTTGTCCAACACCAGTCTCTAAAAATGATCTTACAGCTCTGGCCGGTGTGGCTCGGTGATTGAAACGTCAGCCCACACACTGAAAGGACGTGGGTTTGATTCCTGGTCAAGGACACATACCTGGGCTGCAGGTTCAATCCCCAGCCCCAGTTGGGGTGTGTGAGGAAGAAAACCAACCAATGTGTTTTAATGTTTTTGACATCGATGTCTCTCTCTCTCTCTCTCTCTCTCTCTCTCTCTCTCTCTCCCTCTCCCTCTCTCCCTCTCTCCCTCTCTCTCTGTCTCCCTCTCTTCGATCCTTGTGGTTACATTGGTCTCCTCAGTGAATGCAGGGGAATCTTCCATCTAAAGGTCCTTTACTTCATCACATCTGCAAAATCCCTCTCTCCCTCTCTCTCTCTCTCTCTCTCTCCCTCTCTCTCTTCCTTTCTCCCTCCCACTCTCTCTAAAAAAATCAATGGAAAAAATATCCCAGGTGAGGAGTAACAAGAACAAAAAATGATGTTACAAGTCGCACTCAGAACCACATTTTGTTTGTATTCAAACAACAGCCCAGAAAGAATTAAATGGCAGCAAGGAAGCATGCTGGCGAGTCAAACGGACGCTCCTTCTAAAATAACGAAAGCACCAGAAAATCTAATGTCTATTGGATACACTCTCTCCCAAAATGACTGCCCTGTGCGATCAATAAACATCACGGATGGGACTTCACATGTGTGCTCAGGCAGGTGTGTCCCACTCTAACCACTCGTAGAACCTCCGCCCCAGCCTGGCACACCCAGCCTGCCCGTCATCACCGCCTCCCAAGCACGAACTGAGAGAGTCCTGCCCACGGTCTGGGGCAGCTAGACACTCACCCCCAGACCCACGGGACCCCGCACAGAGGCCAGGCCACCAGGAAGGGTGAGTGCAGGGCTGGGGTCCCCCTCAGCGTGTGACGGGCTCGTGGGAGGACCCGGGCCCACTGCCCGGGGAGAGCGGGGACTGCCTGTCCACTGGATAGGGGCCCTTCTCCTGGAGAGCAGAGTGGAGGGAGAGGTGGTCCCAGCCTCCCCATCCTCCAGGTCATGGCCACATAGACATCAGGCCTCACTTCCCAGCCTGGCAGCCCACCTGCCCCCACGGCCTCAGGGTCTCTGTGGACTCTGTCTCAGCTCTGAACCGGGAGGTGGAGCAACGTCTCGCTGAGTCGTACTTCACACTCCTGGCCTGACCAGCAGCCTGTACACGTTGCAAACAGGACCTCACCCTCTGGACGTCCCAGACCCAATAGGAGACCTGCTCACCCTCTGGACGTCCCAGACCCAATAGGAGACAGACGTGCTCACCCTCTGGACATCCCAGGCCCAATAGGAGACCTGCTCCCCCTCTGGACGTCCCAGGCCCAATAGGAGACAGATGTGCTCACCTGGTGACGTGTCTATGAAGCCGCGCCCCCCAGGTGCCGGGACAGGATTAGCGCCGTCATGGGCAGCTCGTGCCGTTAGGGAAATGGCGGTCTGGGTTGGAGAGTGGGTGGCTTTGGGCAGTTCTGTGCTGAGCAGACCATGCCCAGGCC